GTTGGAGTTCCTACGGACCAGTATGGTGCCAGGCACAGTGGGTGCCAAGGAGCGAGATCGTGTTCTCCAGAGGGCGAAGAGATATCGATTGGAGGGAGCACATGTTCTCCGAGTGTGGGAGGACGGTAAGGTACGGGTAGTACCGCATCCAACTCAGAGAGCACGCATTGTGAGGCATGCTCATGAGGAGTTGGGACATTTTGGAGTGAAGCGTACGTACAGCTTACTCCCAGGTTAGTATTGGTGGCGTGGTATGCATACGCAGGTGCAGCAGTTGGTATCACGTTGCATGGTTTGTGATCGAGTGAGGGCATCGTTCAATGCCCCGACACCAGAGTTACATCCCTTACCTATCATGGGATTGGGTAACCGTTGGAGTTTGGACTTTGCTGGACCACTACCTTTGACTACACGACATCATCGGTATGTGTTGGTGATGGTGGAGCATTTCTCCAAGTGGATTGAGTTGGTGGCATTACCTGACAAGGCGAGTGAGGGAGTAGCATATGCTTTCCTTGACAGGGTGCTTAGTCACTTTGGTGCACCAGCTGAGGTGTTGACCGATCAGGGGACAGAGTTTCAGGGTGAGTTTCAGGTCTTGTGTGACAAGACGCTGATTGATCACCGGACTACTTCCCGAGATCATCCAGAGGCGGATGGTTTGGCTGAGCGGATAATACAGACGGTGAAGAGAGCGTTGCGCAAGTATGGCCTACAGAAGGGGCATCTTGGGGACTGGGATATTCAGTTACCATGGTTGGCCATGGGATATCGATTCAGTCGTCAAGCATCCTTGGCTTCGTTTTCACCATATTTTCTATTGTACGGCCGAGATCCAGATTTGCCTGCAGCGATTCGTCGTGAGTCTAGCGAGGTGGTGAACCTTGATGATCCAGATATGTGGGTGAGAGTGTGTTCTCAACGTGCAGTGCTCTTTCGGAGAGTTATGCCTGCAGCGTTTGAGAACCTTGCGATTGCTCAGCACCGAGATACGTTGCGGTATGCAACTATTCGAGGAGGAGGTTATCGACCATCGATTCGTAGGTTCCGGGTGGGAGACTACGTCTATTTACAGCAAACTGCACCGACTACGTTGGATGTGACGGCAGGACGCACTATCCTGCGAGTGCGAGAGGTGTTACCGTCTGGAGTTCTCATGTTGGAGGGTCGTGACGGTGTCGTTTGGAAGGATCATGTGCGCAATTGTGCGCCATGCCACCTCCCAAACGTGGATGGTACGATGGACCCAAGCTTGGCGATTGTACGTACCGGCTTGAGGTGCATGTTATGTGGGTCAACTGATCAGGCGGCCCATATGTTGGTGTGTGATAGGTGTTCTAGGGGATGGCACATGTCGTGCTTGACTCCACCTATCGATGTTGTTCCTACTGGACGGTGGGTTTGTCCTCGATGTACTTCAGAGGGTAGATGACTTGATCTTCACATGTTATGAATTGCAGATAGGCGACTAACGATGAAGCGACATAGCACCCGGCCTACTGGTTCGCGCACCCACGAAGGTGCATAGCATGTAGTTGTAGATAGGGCTACCTGGGAGTCAAAGGGACCTGACCGCTAGTTAGGGGGGCGAGTTGTGATACCTTTGTGTGTGGACACTCTCGTTCCTTGTGTATGTATGTGTGAGTTGTGAGTAGAGCATGTCAGCGATGTATGATGTATGGCGATACTGAGTCGCACGACAGCTGTCATGGCTCGAGACGTTGGGTCGATTTGAGTTGAGACTCGTTGAGTTCGAATTGGAGTCGGGGAACGTTGGGAGTCGGCTAACGTTGGGCCGCGGCAAATGGGCGAGGAACGTTGGATGGAGTCGACACCTTCCGTGGGTTATATTTGTGGCGAACTCGAAGAACTGACAGTTCTTCGAGTTGAGCCTTTCGCGTAGGGATATGTCAGTCCCGCTAGCTTCGACTCTGATTCTACCTGCGAGTAGTGAGTTTGGCTCGACTCTCTGTGTACTTGTGTTTCGACACTGATTTTAGTTGTGATACCTTTGTGTGTGGACACTCTCGTTCCTTGTGTATGTATGTGTGAGTTGTGAGTAGAGCATGTCAGCGATGTATGATGTATGGCGATACTGAGTCGCACGACACCCTTGAACATGTACTTGGCTAAGTGAAACTCATGTACCGCAAACGCCCTTGAGCCCATCTTCTTAATGTTATTGTTGTTTTATTTTTTTTAAGTAGAGATGTGACGTTCTTATTGGGCTTTCTTGCTTTTGATCATGTCTATGGTTTGTGACGTGAATTACATCAGTTGATGTTTGCAAGCTTACCTTTCATGACGATTTCTCAGCTATTGCTTGTCTAAACGTTCGAATCAATTGTAAGGCTGGCTTAGCTCACACAATGTGATCGATGAACAACAAGATGGCAAAATCCTTATACAATGACATTACCTTGACATTAAATTTTTTTTCAAGTAGAAATTGGATACTTTCAGGTATCTGTGTATAATTGGAAGGACGCAATGTTCGTGCATATACTCCAGTCTTTTGTTTACAAGTGCATGAGTCCCGAGAGCAAAGAACAACCAGAATAACCGGTTAGCTCATTTCATGAATCTACATTACTTCTGATTCTTCCCCTTTCCTTGTCCCCGCAAAAACTATATTCCCGTTCCGACCCTATCTTTGCATTTGGCCTCTATCCACTCACAAAACTCTATTCTTTATAGTATAACAATGTGAGGTATAATTAGTCTAAATTGAGGGTCAACTAGCCACTCCCTTACTTATTATCAAATAATGTCATAATTTGCTTTCAAAATAAAATTTAGTATAAATGTGTGAATTTTTGGCACATTCATTGAATTATAGAAATTTACATAGTGGAATATTAAATCACAATAAAATATACATTAATTGAAATAATTGTTGAAGTTGACTCATATTAAGGAATAACTTCAGGTCTTAGCTAAAAATAATTAGTACTGTTTGTGTATTACACAAAACATTAAGTACACTCTCACTCATGCATTTACCCTTGGACGTAGCACTTTACGTCTTGGTGTACACTATTTACTATCACTTGTTGTAGTGTGTTTATAATTCTTGGTAATCGCTAACAATAATAATTTATGTATATAAATACTAGTATATGTTGCGAATGTTTTAATGGTTGAAGTAAATTTTTTTCTATTTATTCAATTATATTAATATTTTTAAACTCCAAAAAATATACATAAACAATTTTATGATTGTTTTTCCAAACTAAAGAGTTCTATTCAACACCATAAAATTGAAATATGAATCAGAAAATTATTATTATGTTGACTAAATTCACAAATCAAGATTAAGATGAAATCTTCCAGAGTATTCATCCGAATATTGATTTGTGAACTTAAAAACTATCTACACGATTACACTACCTATAATTAGATTTGATAGTCTTGATAATGGTAAGTTTGAAGTGGAACTTTCAATTTATGGCTTTATATGTGAATGACAATGCAAGATTTGAAATTTTTATAAAATTTCAGAGAATATTTACAAGATTTAAATTCAATTACATTCTTTTTACACACTTTATGTTTAAAACTAAATCCCAAAACTTCAGAGTGATAACTTTTTAGAGATATAGGAAACATGATAATGTAGTTTGAAGATATGCCAAAAAACCACAATTCAAGTTTTCTAGTGCTTAATTGAAAGTGATATTGATTGTATAGTTGATTTACAACCACAAAGTTATGGCATAAGAGAGCACACATTTTCAGTGGTGGAAATAGTGGTTGAATAGTCCAGTCCTTACTAAATAAGTGCTCTGCTATATACGAAGAGATGATGTGAGATTCAAAAGATACGAACTCAATACGGATAGTTGGACTGGAATGGAATGTTCGCAAATTAGATACCCATTAGATAATTTGGATAGGTGACATCATGATAACATTACGCACATAGAAGCATACTCTTAAAATACATTTCGAGGTAATAAATAGGAGATTTCGCATGAGTTTCACAAGTACTGTACCCACTGTGAGAGTCTTTCGAAACGCACGGTCCATTGCTCCGCTGGTCTTGAAACCTCGTACAGCATGTGTAGTCGATTAATGGAGGAAATGCTCGTGGAAAGTACCGCCAATTGGAGGTCATCACAACCTGGTATTGCAGGTGACGAGGAACAGGGAACCAACAGCATTCAAGGGCAACTGGAGTGATTTGTGTTCTAAACCCGCTGAACTACCCGCGGGACGATTTCTGCCAACAAAGCATCTTCGAGAAAAGAGGGAATCTCAGATGCATAGATTCTCTTCAAATACGTGGACTTTGGAATGAGCCAGTACCACGTTGGGAAACCTTCAGAGTTATGGCACAAGGGAAAGTCAAAGCCCAGGGCATTCTCGGGAGACTGATGGAACCGCGTTTTTAGTGGCCCTGGTGGCAGCTTTCCTTCTATTAGGACCGGTATTATACTCTGGCGGTATTGTCCGTTTCTGCACCTTTTCCAGAACCACTGTGCGGCCAGCAGACACTAGTTCATGTAACTCACACTTTTTCCCTCATATCTGTTATTAAGCGGAGAATAATTTTCCTTGCTACATTTGAACCTTGCCCTGTAGGGCTGGATGGGGTCCTGCGATCCATTTTGGCCATATTACTTGGTTCCTCGTCGTATTCAGGATCTGAAGCTTTGGCCCAACGCAGAGTTCGTGAGATGCGCATCAATGTCAGCATACGTCTACCATGTCTTAGCCTCAGTAGGCTTGGATAAAATTGTACATATGGCTTTTGGAGTGATGAGATATGTTGCACCTCAATCCCTTAAATTCTACAAGATCTCGGCGGAGGCCACGACAACCGAACTTGGTCATTTGACTCTTGCAGGTTTCCTTGGCATCTGATTCTATGTACAACTGGATGTCAAAGGAAGCTACTACAAGCGTTGGTTACTAGGTAGTCGTAACCAACTACTACGCACGGTATAAGTCCCTTCAGTTTTTATATTATGCTTTCTCTTGTTTGTGCCGTTTATGTTGAGTTTTGGACCAACTTGTGTAGATGTCCAAAAATCGTCTGAAGCATATTGAACCGCTTGTCAAGATGTGGATGTTGCGCATTTCTAGTAAGTCTTCAAGGTTTCATAGAGATCCTGCCCGAGCCGGGGTCCTTGCTTATCGCAAATTGTCTACGTCGTGATCGAAGTGGTATGTCTAAATTTTCTGGGGTTTCCCCGCAACAAAGATCTTTATCTGAGCGTTGTTTTGAACAGTGGGGGCGTGGCGATGATGATGTCGTCGTCGTCTCGTCGCGGTTGCCGCGAGGGCGAATTGGCGTTCGCGATATTCTATTCTTCTTCTATCCAGCAGCCAAACCCGACGAATCTCTGATCTACCAAATCGGCCGTAATATACTAAACAAATAAAATATCTGTGGCTTACAATTGGGCAGGTTTCCGAGGACGGGAGAGGCAAGGCGACCCTACTAAGGGCTCTAAGGGCTCACTAAGGGCTCCCAACTTGCGGGGGAGCGCGAGCTCTGCCCGCCCGATCCCGATGCCAGTGGGATTCAGACACTGCCCTATCACGCAAGAAATTATAAAATGTCTCAGCGCCCTGAGGATTCAGTCCTTCATGCCGCGCCGAGGGTAAGGAAATCACGATTATCTATGCAAAGTACAGTAGAGCAGTTCTGGAATGTGTTTGCGCTACATCCAATTACTTTTTGAAATCTAGTAATCTCAGAGCTGCATTTTATAAGATCGGTCCACGATGATTGATTGCTGATCTGCATAAGGTTAAACGGTTATCCGACTCTATATACGAACTTTACAACCCAGGAGCTTCATCACGGCTGAACGTTGTATTCTTTCATGGCCTACAATTGTCACCTAACTCTGATTCTCACTTATCAACTTGTACGTCACGCGGTTCTCAGCAGGAAGTATGGCCGATGACCTGGCTCCCAGAAGAGTTTCCAGAAGCTCGTATTCTCTGTGTCAATTACGATTCTTGTATCAGGAGATCAGCAGAGCATGGAAGATTAGATCTCCACAACGCAGCCGAAATGTTGATGGCAAATCTTAAGCTTGCAAAGGTGTGCCAGCATCCAATTATACTTATCGGTCACAGCTACGGAGGCTTGGTGATAAAACAATTGTGCCTCCAAGCTCTCATGAGGGAAACTTTGAAAAAGGAGGAGGAAGGAGATGTTGGATTTCTCAACTGCATCAAAGGAGTTTTCTTCTATGGAACGCCCCATCACGGATCGTCATTTTTCTCGAATGTAACAGACTTGAAAGATGCTAGCCCTCTACTGGACTTTGTTCATGTGCTTTGCGCACGCTCAGCTCGCCTTCTCAACTGTCCTTCTCAACTGGATCAAAGGAGTTTACTCTTATGGAACGCCCCATCACAGATAGTCATTTTTCTCGGATGTAACAGACTTGAAAGATGCTAGCCCTCTACTGGACTTTGTTCATGTGCTTTGCGCAGGCTCAGCTCGCCTTCATCAAATCTTTGATTCTTGACGTTGGAACCACAAGTGGAGCATTGCTGGAGTCGGAGAATTGAGACTTACTACGGTTTTGAGGCCAGTGAGTGGGTGGCTGATTTGCGTTCACGGTATGACATGTTTGTTTTTTTATTTTACTCGTCATGATTTTAACCTGCTGAAACAGCAGCATCAATTCTGCATCAACATATCATACTTTTCTGTGTTTGTTTGAATGTAATTTACAGAAGGTCCTGATGGGGGTTCATGAACTTGGTTGAATTCCGGTTAGACTTTTTGGAAATCCATCCACCACAGAAGAATTTCAAATGACGATTTTGACTAGTGGTTTGTTCCAACATGTCTCAGAGTGTGATGATTGTACACGAGGCTTCAGCTCGGTACGGCGAGTTCACTATGGAGCAGGAGGATCATTTCTCTCTCTGCCAGCCCAAGAGCAAGGTTTCAAATACTTACAGTCGGTTGACAGAGTTCATTCAATGTATCGGTGAAGATATTTATGGCTTTAAGGTTCCTCACACAAACATGTCCTCCTTCTTGGCTGTTTGTATTTTTCCTCAATATGCAAAGATTAGCCCATGATACCCTCTTTTAGATGTATGGGAGCCCACATAGGTTCAAAAAACCAGAAGAGTTAATTGTCAGCGTCCATCGTTAACTAGATCAATGTCCACAAAATTTCAAATTGTGGCTTTCAAGCAAGAGGCAATTCTAGTTGGGTGAGATTCTTCCTGGCCTAGAGATCTAAACTGCTTTTGGCTACTGTGATTGGATACAGGGGATGAGATCTTTTCATGAGCTCAAGAAGGTGCCGAAGATGGCAATGGTTTTACGTTCTCACCTCTTCAAAACCGTTCGAAACTACTTAGTCGTAGCTCCATTAGTAGGTCTTCACGGCATGGGCGGTGTAGGGAAAACAACTCTCGCGAAGCTGTTAGTCAAAGATTTGTGTGCAGAATTCGACTATACTTGTTTCATTCCGGTATCTAACCTGAAGGGAGATTACGAGGAGATTACGAGGAGATGAGACGCAGTATGTATTCGTCAACGCATCATCATGGCAGAAAGTTTGAGCAAGGAGGGGAACGTGTAAAAGTGCGGTCAAGATTTCTTCTCGTTTTGGATGACATTGAGGATGCTCATGTTGATTTTCTCTTCGACATATCTTCGGACTTTGATTGTGGGAACAGTCGCTACATTGTTATCTCTCGAAATAAAGAAATCTTGGACAGATGCATTGTGACATCTCGACATGAGGATGTTGGAGCACGTGTATTGCTTGAGTCACAAGAATTCCAAAGAGTTATTTATGACCCATGTTTTTTCTTATCCGACCAATCCGAGTCCATCACTGTGGACATGGATAAACTAGATTGTGGTGAAATGTGGAAGATTACCATTAACCCTGGTGATGATGGGCAGTTATTTGAAGAGCAAAAACGATAGAAGCATATAGGAAGAGTGTTTTCACACACTGGATAAAACAAACAATGTAATCAATTTTGAAGAACGATTGTGGTCGAAGTTGCAAGTGAGTTACGACCGTTTGAATCCTAAAAAGCAAGAAATGTTCCTTGATGCTGCTACTTTCTTCAACAATTCCACCTGGAACCTGCAAACAGCTAAGTTTTGCTGGCGTGAGATCTATGGAAATTTTCAAAGCATCCGATGGAAGACTCTGGTACATCTGTTTCTTGTGTACAATGTAAGCGAAGAGGACTGTATACAAATGCACAAGCAAATGAGGTCTCTGGGAGTGAAATTGGCTTCGGCATGGGAATATAAACGCATATGTAGGACTTGGACGGAGAAAAATGTCTCCTTTCCGTCACTCATTCCTCCCATGGAGGAAACTAAGGTTTGTGATTATGTTCAAAAGCTTCCAATCTCAAGGTTCCGTCTTCTTTCTAGAGTACTTGGACTCGTTAGATATCGGTTGTTGATGTAGACTATTAAATTTCACAACACTACGTCATTGTTCGGTGGGTTTTTGTATTTCGTTGATATTTTCTCTTGACATGTTTTAAACGCCGTCTCAAAGATTCACCGCCCTTTCTTTCGGTCAACGTTATGCTTTGACAAGCTCAAAAAACTTTTAGAGTACATCCTGTGACTTCCTTCAAAAGTGTCTTTCAAAGCATTTTATTGTCACTCAACTAGCTGCTTTTCAAAATCAGCAATAGTATCAGCAATCAGTATGTTTGTAAAGTCGTAGCCTACTTCTAAAACGTAATTCAAAGCGCCTCCCTAGCAATCAACGTACTGGTTTTGCGAGTCCAACAAACCCTCTAGGGATCAAACGACTTTCTTTTCATTCTGTCATTGACAGCATACTTTCTCTTTACCTCAAGGGATTCATCGAGTACTAAAGTCGACACACAGCATAATTGGGTTTGTCCATCCTGACCCTACTTAGACTTTGAAACGAGCAGCGTCTTGTTGGCTTTCACTCCACGATCATCCCAGCTAGCATACAAAAAAGGTTGTTTTATTCTTGGAATTTATCGAGCCTGTGATCTCCCACGGATGATCCTATTCACTCAATTTGGGCTTTACTATGAAGGATATCATTGACTTTCAACCTGAAAACTCGATGTATCTGATCATGTGAAATGCTACAAATCTTCTAGGTCAAGTTTAGATCATGGACTCTATATATGGCTTGGGATGTGAACTAGACCCTCGGTGTTTTGGTGCAGGAGGTCAGATCGCTACGACTTGAAGTCTCACTGCCCTGGATAAATATTCTCAAGATAGATTTTCTCCACATGGAGAAGTTGCAATATTTGGAGTTGGTGCAATATTTGGAGTTGGGTTCGGATTTGAAGTTGGAGTTGCTGTTGGATAAACGCGTCCTCAAATTTCCAAGGAGCGTGGTCCTTCTTCAACTGAGAGGAGGAGTCAATAATAGGCTTGAAAGATATCTGTGGACTCTTCCGGACTTGGTTGCTTTGGACGTGAAGGCACCGTTGATATGGTTTCCAACAATAGTCACCAGGTGCCGAAACCTTGAAGTTATGAAATTCGAAGCCTGCCTCTTCGAAAACTTTCCCCCAACGTTCGTAGAATTGCACAGGCTTCGTCATCTAACATTTAGCAGTTGCAACGGACTGCGTTCACTCCCCGAAAATTTCAGACTGCTCTCAGAGCTGCGTTATTTGGAACTTCGTAAATGTAATAATTTTGAAGCATTGCCGGACTCGTTCGGCAATCTCCACAGCCTGAAGAGTTTGATCATGGCGTCACTGGACAATCTTCAAAGATTGCTCCAGGATTTTGGAGCTCTGTCCAACCTAGAAAGGCTGGTAATATTAGATGCGCCTAAAATCTCTGAACTGCCTGACAGCTTCGGCGAACTCCATCGGCTGCGAGACCTGCATCTTGATAATATGTCTAGCCTCCAAGCCTTGCCATATTCCTTTGGCAACCTTTCGCAACTGTGGCGATTGTCAATGATGGGTTGCATGATGACAAAGGTATTGCCGATGTCGTTTGGGTGTCTGTCCAACCTGACCAACTTGGACATCCGCGACTGTCGTAGCGCTGAGGTCTATCCAACCTCCATGCGTGTTATTCGAAGACTTCCAAGACTAAGGTATCTGATAGTCCAAACTAGTGAGTCGGAGGGTAATCTATCAGAAAGTGAGTTGCGGGCGTTGTGGACAGGAGGACAATCTATCAAATAGTAAGTTGCAGAGTCTGCAACCCATACGTTTCCTATGCCGGCTGAACTACAGTATTATATCAGTAATACGCGATTATCTTAATAATAATGGAACACGCGCGGAACAGGAACTAAAGGATGCTATACCGCACGATGAGTAACTTGCGCGTAACAGGGGGTTTGGCTCTACAGTAAAATACGGGGCCAACAAATGGGAATCTGAGGCTGCTGTACGGTCACATACCAAGGCCTTGGAAGATAATAAGAAAGCTTTGGACGACCATCTGGCAAACCTGCCACATGTACCTACCCCTGAAGTTCCTTCAGGCGTCCCACAGCCTTCAAAGGCACCGACCCCCCACCGCCTCTACCGCAACGTCCCGCCGCACCTGCTTCGGATATACCTCAGCTTTTGTTTAACTCGCGAAGCGCATGAACTTCGCCTTGAGTCCGCCTTCGGACCCTAGAGTTCTATTTGATACAAGCTGCGCTCGCATTAAGTGTTGAACGACCTGTGTCAAGTATGCAGCTCCTACGAACAGATGGAGATGCACCACATAAAAAGACTAAGCCGCGATAACGCGGTTTCACTAGGTTGAACACATCATCATAAAATTTGAAGGTCCAAATGATGTTTAAGTCAAAAAGTGAAGTAGGTTCCATTTTTAGATGTTGATGTGTTTTATTTTCATTTTCATATATTCCATCGAATTTATTATTATCGATTTCATAGGTGGAAATTGTAATATTTTAGATTATCATTTAATTTGTAAAAAGATGTAACAAACATAATGTGATTGATATATTTTTGTTATTACACGCTCAATTTATGTTATTAAAAACTAATTCTCGCATTTCCACAAGGTAAATTTTCATAAGACTAATACATGGAATGTAAACACATAGTAAATTAAATTTGGATTTTTTTTATAAGTTGACTCATATCATGTCTATTGTAAACATAGATCATGCATATTTTGTGTTTAAAATATTCTCTATTTGTTTTATGTGTGTTTTGGAAATGTTCTAAAGAGTGATTCATGAAGATATTTGTATATGTTTCTATATATGAAAAATCTACAAACAATTTTTTTCAGGTTTTTTAAATTTTTTATTCTAACATTTATTTGAAATTTATATAAATATATTTATTGGATACATAAAAAATCTAAATATTAAATTTAATGCACATATCAAATAACATAATTACAATTATGTGACCTATAACAACATTATATTCTATGATGTTTATAGGACAAGTTAGTATTTTTCTATAATAGTAAAATTATAATTTGTGATACATATATATATATTTCTTTTGTGTAAAATTTTTAGCTATTAATATAGCTTTGATTTTGTTGTTTTCTTAAACTCTGAATTTCAAAATGAGATAAATTTTTTTCAGATCTAATATCTCAATGGATTTTTGATCGCCTTACAATTTACCTTTTCATTCATGCTCAAAAAATTCTAGAGTTTTACTACAAATGATTTAGTTTACTCTGTACAAAATTTCATGAAAAATATCTTTTGGTTTTTATAAAAATCCTTGAAATTATAACATTCAAAACTTTGGTGAAATATAAAATATGAACTTGAAATAGAAATTAGAATATATCTCACCTTCCATTCTATAATAACTTAAAATTTTAGATAATACTTTCAATAAAACAATGTTGGTCTCTAACTCCACTACTTTTCCAAAACAATGTGTTTAGTTGAACAAAATGTACAAAATAAACTTTAAGATTTTACAAGAGAATATTGTGAACACATAGTATATACTACTCTCAAACATATCTTCAGTTGTTTTGTTTTCTAAAGTCAATTTCATATATACTTTTATACTCATTTTCTCCAGGGCAAGAAACTGAATACAAAATATTCTACTTCTAGATTGAACTTCCAAAAATTTTCACTAATTTTCACTAAAATTTACCTGAAATGTATTTTCTATAATTCATAAGGTGTGTCTAGAACATTAATATTTATTTTCATGTCCGTGTCACAAACACACTCTTACAGAATCTTTCAATTCATTATTCTATATCACACACATTGACATTTCAAGATGTTTATAAACTAGATCTCATAAGTTTTGGGATTTTATTATAAATTCTAAAATTAACCAGAAATAAATTTGGAAAAATCCATAAACTAAAAACAACATGTTTGTCCCAATGATTTCAGTTATTTTTTTGTCACGCAACATGCTAGAAAATATATGACTAAACCTCATACAACCTGGAGCGCTAAATTACAACTTTTTTTTGTTTCAGATATCACGCGATTGATTGCACCAACTCAAAGCTACAAAGGCTAAGAATTACTTCACTTCATCTCAGTGCAAGAAGTAATTGTAATTTAAATTTAACATGACTTCAGATCATTGAAGTTGATACAAGTAAGAAATTTATTTCCATATACGTTTTGTTTTGTGTTGACCGCGACAAAGAGTGCAAAAGCCAAAAATGAAGAGAAAATGTACAAAAAAGTGTCAAATTCCACCTCAAATTGTATCAAAATCAAATACAACAAATGGATGTCAAACTCTATCTAGGAAGAAAAAGAGAAAGAAGATACTTTGTTAGATATCAAGAAATGTTGAATCATACTTTGACCTAAAAGCATCTTATAGTGGAAAATGATTAAACTCTTGCTAGAGTATATCTCTTAGAGTAAATACAAAGAGCAATCGAGGTTAATATGCTAGCGTTTGTAGTCATTCTCTCAATTAATTCTCTAAAAATAGCATAGAATGGGGAAATTATCTCGCTGGTCGTGAACGTCACGGTGGGGATAAGGCTTTTATTATATTGGCCTTGCAACATTGTACCACCTGCTTTATTTTTCAGATTTGTCTTTCTCCATGAAAGAAGCGACGTGGAAACTTTTATGAATCATATGACCTTCCACGACAAATATTGTTGCGCAGTTTTTCCATTACCTTGCTTTCGGTTTCTCATCTCATCTCATCATGCTTTCGGTTTCGGCCACTCACAGAACCTTAGCAAATGATCTTACCTGCTAGGAATTTGTATGTAACATGTAATAACATGTAATGTTTGTTAAGCATGCATTGTTTGCTCTTTATTTGCAAAAGATTCATTCTGAGAAATATACATTTTGCATCAAATATCTATGAGAGTTCTGAGTAATACGTTGGAGCCATAATTTCTGTGAATGGAATTCACGAATATCTCTGGAAATTTTAACAGTATAATTGAAACCCTAAATTTCCAGACAAAAATTAGAAAGATTTTGGAACTAAAATATTTCATCAAAATCTTTACATTGTAAACATACCTTGTAGTTATCTTTTCAAATCTTTATAATGTGCTGGTCAGTTACAGGAATTAGTATCTGCTCGGATTTACCATTGATTGTTATTTAACCAAAAAAAATTAATTAACAAGTGAGTGATAACCAAGTTAGGTTCGAGTAAGTCTATCATACATCCAATATTATTTATTTCATATTTAACCATATGCAAATTTTGCCCATGTTGTGAAATTCAATATCCTTGTTACTGGCATTGATAACTTTTTGTGTTCATTTAATAAAATATAAAATTCACCTGTCAAGTTTTTCAGACATGATAAATGTGTTGTCATCTTTATAATCACTCATATCCTAGTTATATTTACATTTTTAAAAATTTCTTACAAAAATAAAATTTCTACACTGATAAATGATGATAAATGCACATTAAATCCAGCATTAAATCAATCAAAAATAAAAATTGAGTAAATCAATAAATAATCACAAATTAAAAGGATTTTTTTTCATTTTTTACATTTATGAATAACAAACCTTGGAAATAAAAATTGTCATCTTTGCATGGAATAATAAATTATTCGTTGTACTGGGTAAATATATTTCATAAGGATGATTCAAAAGATGATATTTTCATAAATTTGCTTTTGTACAATTATTCTTAACAATCAAATTGGCATAGTTTGTTTCAAAGCACTGAATGTGATATGTTCAAATCTTCCAAAAAGCCATTAATTACAACTCTAAGTTAATATTGTTCACAATAAAAAAGTACATCTGTAACTAGATCTTTCAAAAAATGGAATGATTTATTGCACTTAATATCAAATCTACAAACCTAATCACTAAAACTGACTACTAAGACATATATCAATAATTTTGAAAGACGAAGTGTTTATCACAAATAGATAGATTTTAGCAATAAGTTTAGTTTATAACAATTTTAAATAAAATTTTGCACCAATTTTGATTTGAAGATTATGACTATCATCTTTATATCAAATCAATCACCTCTTTATTTTTTTTGTAGTTCAGACATATTATACATTAAGATTCAAAATATCACCACTCCTAGCATAAAAATGATTGCTATTTCTCAAAATTTAAACAATCATGTCATTTCATGTCAACCATATTCATAAATCAAAAAATTCATTATAAGCTCAAACTCACATTTTATTAAATTTTTGGCATCATAGTAAGAAACTTGAAGATAACAAAAGTTATTGTAAAGTTTTTACTCTTGTGAAAATTTTTAAATGTATAATTTTTACACTCAAACATTTGCTACAAGATGGAAAAAAACTTCATGATATCATAAAAAATGTATTGATCATGACTTTTTGATAAAAAAATCAAATATTAATGTGTGAGTTAAATAACATAATAATTTTGAATATGAAAAGTATGTTAATTTGAAATATATGATTATTCATCATGATTAAGATTATATTCATGAAAACTAATGTTGATAAATTTTTATTTTGGGGGGTCTGGGTTATTAAAAGAAGGCGAATTGACGAAAAGCTGAAATGTTCTTGTGCCAAGTGGTGTGCAGTGTTTGCTCTCGAGGGGGGGCAAAGTTCAAAAGCAGCAGGTCCATGCTCTTATCGTCAACGTTCTTAAAAATGAAGGTGAATCAAAATGCGCATCGCCGCCGCGTGCCCCCGCCCATCAGGCTCGGCCTGACCCCAACGTTAACCTGCGAGTTAGGTTATTTGAAACTCGCGATCCGCTGCGGGGAGCTCCCGACAAGAAAGCCCATGCCTGGGGGTAAACCCGAAGCGCTCAGGTGAGAAAACATACACGTGTCCGTTGCCGGAAAGGTATGAATTAGCAGGGCGTTTAACATAAACCCTCGGTCATACAAAGAACATTTGGCGGAAATCAAACGCCCTGGGCGCAGATCTTTGTTTTTGAACGACGGGATTCGCGCCCTTTTGAGAAGGCGACGCGCGAATGGAGGGGGTTGGATGGGTTGCTCGCAGATGCCGGGTACGAAAACCATGCGCTCGTCATAACTCGCACTTACCTCCGCTAACTATAGCGATTATCTCAGAGGCCCGAAATTAGGGTTAATTCGGCAGGACGGGCTCGCTCGAGCAAGCGGGGGACGACAAATTCATTTGTATTTTTATTTTCCTATTTCGCGGCCTCGTCTTCGCCTCTCGCCGCGCCTCCCCCCGCTCCCCGAGCTTCTGGGGCCTTCGCTCGTCGTCCGTCGGCTAATTGTATTTCCAGGAATTCCCCTTTTGTGAGATAATAGGAGGCAGCGACGCCAGCACTTTTCTGCTGCTGCTCTCCTCTCGCTCTACCGAGAGCCGAGCCAGGGCTGGCAGAACCCTCGAGAAGAAGCACGGCGCAAGGGCCCAGACGAGAGAGAGAGAGAGGGAGGGAGGGAGGGAGGGAGTGAGAGAGAGCAGCAGCTTTGAGAGTTGGAAAGGGGAGATCTGACCCAAGGACAGGCTGGGATTTGGTCTGTGCTGGGACTGACTGGCTGTGGGAGGGGAGGTGGTGTGGGCGGGGCGGGGCTTGGCTTGGCTGTCTGTCTGGTGCTGCTCAGGACGTCGACGACGAGGAAGGAGTGGGAGGGGGAGGAGCAGAGAATCGCAGCGGAGCGAGGACGGAACGGGAGGGAGGAGGGTGGGCGGGGGGGCGGGGGGAAGGGATTCCGATCGATAGCGTGCGCAGGATTGCACGGAGAGTGACGCTGTGATCCAGTTTCGGGAGGTGCGATCTTTGTGTATCGCCTTGTGGCGGACGCGGACGCAGACGCAGGCGGGCAGACGGGCGGGCGGGTGGCGGGTTTCGCTAACGACTGATTAGGGTGTGTATGATGTGTATGTGTACGCGTCGTGTGAGTGTGTGTGTGTGAGAGAGAGAGAGACAGATAGTGTGTGTGCGCGTGGGGTAACCGGAGCGGACCCGGCGTGCGTAGGAGGTAGAGCGAGAAATTTGTCGCGGTGTCGGTTTGTTGGTTTATTCTTCTTCTTCCGTGGCAGTAGATTTAGAGTAAAGATCGACCCTGTGATCCAACCCCCCCCTATGTTGAGATGGAGAGTCGCTTTGCTTGGTTCCTGTTTGTCATTCTGAAGTGTTGATTTGAGGTTGAGGTTGAGGTTGATGTGCCGCGCTCGCCTTCGCGAGGAGGAGGATGTCGAGCATGCCGCCGTTCTTAGTGGGAGTATGTTTGCTTGAAGGATCGCCGAGATCTTGTTGAGTGAATGGAGTTCGTTTGTGGTGCTTTCGGTCGTGTTGCCATTTGAGATGTCTCGTATGTGGGCTAAGCCTCGTCAAATTCTTTTCCAGGTAGCTTTGTGGATTCCTTGCGTAGGGTTTCTTAAGCACGGGGTGAAGACACATCCCAGGACGCTGTGGTGCGAGAATCGAGCATAGGTTCGTGAGTTAGGACTGATAGTTGGTGGGGCAGAGCGGGCGTCGATTACGCAAGTTGAATATATTGTCCCTGCTCCCTGCGGATTCAGACACTGCCCTATCACGCAAGAAATATACAATGTCTGAGCGCCCTGAGGATTCAGTCCTTCATGCCGCGCCGAGGGTAAGGAAATCACGATTATCTATGCAAAGTACAGTAGAGCAGTTCTGGAATGTGTTTGCGCTACATCCAATTACTTTTTGAAAGCTAGGAATCTCAGAGCTGCACTAAATAAGATCGGTCCACGATGTTTGATTGCTGATCCGCATCAGGTTAATAGGTTATCCGACTCTATATACGAACTTTACAACCCAGGAGCTTCATCACGGCTGAACGTTGTATTCTTTCATGGCCTACAATTGTCAGACAACTCTGATTCTCACTTATCCACTTGGACGTCACGCGGTTCTCAGCAGGAAGTATGGCCGATGACCTGGCTCCCAGAAGAGTTTCCAGAAGCTCGTATTCTCTGTGTCAATTACGATTCCTGTATCAGGAGATCAGCAGAGCATGGAAGATTAGATCTCCACAATGCAGCCGAAATGTTGATGGTAAATCTTAAGCTTGCAAGGGTGTTCCAGCATCCAACTATACTTATCGGTCACAGTTACGGAGGCTTGGTGATAAAACAATTGTGCCTCGAAGCTCACACGTGGCGACACATTGGGGACGATGGAGAAGATGCTTGGGTTCTCGAATCCACGCGGCCATACATGGGGGAGGAAGGAGAAGATGCTTCGGTTCTCAACTGCATCAAAGGAGTTTTCTTCTATGGAACGCCCCATCACGGATCGTCAGTTTTCTCGACTATAATTGACTTGAAAGATGCTAGCCTTCTACTGGACTTTGTTCATGTGCTTTGTGCAGTCTCAGCTCGCCTTCATCAAATCTTTGATTCCTTACGTTGGACCCACAAGTGGAGAATTGCTGGAGTCGGAGAATTGAAACCTACTTTGACGCCAACTTTGACGCCAGTGAGTGAGTGTGGCTGATTTGCGTTCACAGTATGACATGTTTGTTTTTTATTTCACTCGTTATGATTTTATACAGCAGCATCAATTCTGCATCAACATGTCATGGTTCGTAACCCAGTACTTTTATGTGTTTGTTCGGATATAATTTACAAAAAGTCCTGATGGGGTTCATAATCTTGGTTTCACTTTTTGAAAAATCCATCCACCAAAGAAGAATTTCTGACTAATGGTTTGTTCCAACATGTTTCCTAAGTATAGGAAGGGGAGTCTCAGAGTGTGATAATTGTACACGAGGCTTCAGCTCGGTACGGCGAGTTCACTATGGAGCAGGAGGATCATTTCTCTCTCTGCCAGCCCGAGAGCAGATTTTCAAATACTTACACACGGTTGACAAAGTTCATTCGATGTATCGACGAAGATATTCATCCCTTAAAGGTTACTCACACAAACATGTCCTCCTTGCCAGTTTGTATTTTTCCTCAATAAGCAAAGATTAGCCCATGATACCCTCTTTTAAATGTATGGGAGCCAAAATAGGTTCCAAAAAGTAGACGAGTTTATTGTCAGCGTCCATCAATAACGAGAGCACTGTCCACTAAATTTCAAATTGTGGCTTTCAAGTAAGAGGCAATTTCTAATTGTGTGAGATCTTTCCCGGCCTACAGATCTAAACTGCTTTTGGCTACTGTGATTGGATGCAGGGGATGAGGTTTTTTGATGAACTCCACGATGTGCCGAAGATGGCAATGGTTCTACGTCTGAAACTCTTCGGAACCGTTCGAAATTTCTTAGGCACAGTTCCATTAGTAGGTCTTCACGGCATGGACGGTGTAGGGAAAACAACTCTCGCGAAGCTGTTGTTCAATAATATGTGTACAGAATTCGAATATACTTGTTTCATTTCGGGATCTAAGCTGAAAGGAGATTACCAAGAGATGGAAGAGAATATGTATTTGTCAATGTATCACTATGGCAAAAAAGTGATACGAGGAGGGAAATTGTTCCGGGCTATGAAATACGGGGATATGATTGATCTGACGCAGACGAAACTTCTCTTCGTTTTGGATGACATTGCTGATATCCACATTCAATTTCTCAGGGAGATATCATCAAAGTTTGATTACGTGAACAGTCGTTACATTGTTACTTCTCAAAATAAGAATATTTTGGGCTGATGCGTTGTGACTTATCAAGCTCGACATAGGTATTTTGAAGCACGCGTCTTCCAGGTAGATTGCTTGAGTCATGAAAATTCGAAAGAGTTATTCATGACGCACGCATTTTCCGATTCAATAGTACAAAAACAGCTTCTAGGTATACAATTCGGCTTAGATATCCCAGTAGATTTGATAGACGAAATTGTCGCAAATTGTGAAGGATTACCATTAACCCTAGAGGTAATAGGCAGTTATCTGATACGGAAAAGATTACCCATATGGAGAGAGTGTCTTGAGGCTTTGGATGAAGCAGCAGACGTAGTCGATTTCAATGAAAGATTGTGGTCAAAATTGCAAGTGAGCTACAACCGTTTGAGTTTTGAGCATCAAGAAATGTTCCTTGATGCTGCGACTTTTTTCTACAATTCCACATGGAATCTTCAAGCAGCTAAATCTTGTTGGAATAAGCTCTATAGTTTTGAACAAATACGATGGAATTATTTGGTAGATTTGTGTCTTGTGTACGATGTAGGCGAAGAGTGCTGTATACAAATGCACAGGCAACTAAGGTCTTTGGGAATGAAATTGGCTTCAGCATGGGGACATAGTCGCATACGTAGGACTTTGACGAAGAAGAATGTCTCCCCGACGTCAACCGTCACTGATATGGAAACTAAGGTACGCAATTATGTTGAAAAGCTCTGACTCTCAAGGTTTTGTCTTCTCTCTAGAGTTCTTGGACACGTCAGACGTAAACGGCTATTTCAAAGATTTATTGCCCTTCCTGTCAATCAACGTATTGCTTTTTCAAACTCAAAATATTTTCTGGGTAGATACTATCTCTTCCTTCAGAAGTGTTTTTCAAAGCTCTTTATTGTCACTCAGCGAGCTGCTTTTCAAAATTAGCAATATATATTTACAACATTGCATCCCTTTTCAAAAACGGAATTTGAGGCGCCTCCTTAGCAACCAAAGTACTGGTTTTGAACTCTCTTCAAAGATCAAACGACTTTTATTTCATTATGTCATTGACAACATACTTTCTCTTTAGATTGAGGGATTCATCAAATACTAAAGTCGCCACACAGCGTTATTGGGTTTGCCCATTCTGATCTTACTTGGACTTTGAAACGAGCAGCGTCTTATTGGCTTTCCCTCCATGAGCATCCCAACCAGCCGACATGTTGTTATATTCTTGGAATCTATTGAGCTTGTGATCTCCAGCGGATGATGTATTCACTCAATTTGATGTACCTGACCATTTGAAATACTACAAGTCTTCTAGGTCAAGTTTAGATCATGGACTCTATATATAGCCTGGGATGTGAACTAGGCCCTGGGGTGTTTTGGTGCAGGAGGTCATAGCGCTACGACTTGAAGTCTCAATGCCCCTCAACTCCACACATGTTTTCCAGATGCAGAAGTTGCGATATTTGGATATTGAGGAGTTGGATGAAGCCTACTTCATATGTCCATCGAGCGTGGTCCTTCTTCGACTGAGAGGAGAAGGTAATAGTCTTGAAGACCTGGTTAAAGGACATCTTCCGGCCTGTTTGGTTGCTTTGGACTTGAAGGCACCGTTGAAATGTTTTCCAACAATCGTCACCGAGATCCGAGGCCTTGAAGTTATGAAATTCGAAGCTTGCCTCTTCGAAGGTCTTCCCGAAACGTTCATAAACTTTCAGAAGCTTCGTCATCTAACATTTAGCAGTTGCAACGGACTGCATTCACTCCCCGAAGATTTCGGACTGCTCTCAGAGCTGCGTTATTTGGAACTTCATTACTGTTATGACTTTGAAGCATTGCCGAACTCGTTCGGCAATCTCCACAGCCTACAGATTTTGAAGATTGTGTCACTGCACAATCTTCAAAGATTGCCCCAGGATTTCGGAGCTCTGTCCAACCTAGAAAGGCTGGTAATATCAGATGCGCCTAAAATCTCTGAATTGCCTGACAGCTTCGGCGAACTCCATCGGCTGCAAGACCTGCATCTTGATAATATGTCTAGCCTCAGAGCCTTGCCATATTCCTTTGGCAACCTTTCGCAACTGTGGCGTTTGTCAATGGTGGGTTGCGCGATGACAAAGGAATTGCCGGATTCATTTGGGGATCTGCCCAACCTGACCAACTTGGACTTCCGCGACTGTCGCAGCGCTGAGGTCTTTCCAGCCTCCATGCATGTTATTCGAAGACTTCCAAGACTAAGGTATCTGATAGTCCAAACTAGAGAGTCGGAGGGTAATCTGTCAGAAAGTGAGTTGCGGGCGTTGTGGACAGGAGAACAACCTATCAAATAGTAAGTTTAGGGATCTGCAATCCATACGTTTCCTGAAGTACCGAGTTATACCAATAACATATCATCATCAAATTTGAAGGTCCAAATGATGTTTAAGTCAGATAGTGAAGTAGGTTTCATTTTTAGATGTTGATGTGTTTTATTTTCATTTTCATATATTCCATTAAATTTATTATTATGGATTTCATAAATTTAAATTGTAATATTTTAGATCATCATTTAATTTTAAAAAGATCTAAACAAAGAATGTAATTGATATTTTTTGTTATTATACACTCAATTTATGTTAGTAAAAATTAATTATCGTATTTCTCTTATTTTAAAGGTAAAATTTCATAAGACTAATCCATCGAATGTAAACACATAGTAAATAGTAAGTTAAATTTGGAATTTTTTTTATAAGTTGACCCATATCATGTCTATTGTAAATATAGATCATGTATATTTTGTCTTTAAAATATTCTCTATCTATCAAAATTCAAAAAATAATTTTTTTTAGGTTTTTTTTAAAATTTTTTATTCTAACATTCTTTTGAAATTTATATAAATATATTTATCTGATGCATAAAAAATTTAAACATTACATGTAATGTACATATCAAATAACATAATTACAATTATGTGACTTACAATAACATTATATTTTACATTGTTTACAAAGAAAATAAGATAAAATTTTTTATAAACAAAAAATATAATTTTCAATATATATATATATATATATTTCTAAAATTTTTAGCCATCAATATAGTTTTGATTTTGTGTTTTTCTTATACTCTAAATTTCAAAATAACAATATTTTTTCAAATCTAACATCTCAAAGAAATTTTGACTGCACTTTAATTTATGTTTTCATTCATAGTCAAAAAATTTCAGAGTTTTACTATAAATTATTTACTTTACATTGTACACAATTTCTTGAGAATTGTTTTTTTTTTACTTATAAAAATCCTTGAAATTATAAGATTCAAAAGTTTAATGAAATATAAAATCTTAACTTGAAATAAAAATTATGATATATCTCACCTTCCATTCTATAATAACTAATAATCTTAGATAATACTTTCAATAAAGTAATATTAGTCTTTAATTCCATTTCTTTTCCAAAACGACGTGTTTAGGTGAACAAAATGTATAAAATAAACTTTAAGATTTCATAAGAGAATATTGAGTACACATAGTATATACAACCCTCAAACACATCTTCCGCTTTTTTGTTTTCCAATGTGAATATCATATCTATTTTCTATAGTTTATAATGTGTCTAGAACATTTTAATTTTTTTTCATGTCCGTGTCATAAACACACTCATACAAAATCTTTCCATTCATCACTCTATATCACACACATTGACATTTCAAGATGTTTATAAACTAGAACTCATAAGTTTTGGGATTCTATTATAAATTCTAAAATTAACCAAAAGTAAATTTGGAAAAATCCTTAAACTAAATACAGCGTGTTTGTCCCACTAATTTCAATTATTTTTTTGTCACGCAACATGTTAGAAAATGTATGACTAAACCTCATTCAACCTGGAGCGCTAAATTACAAATTTTATTTGTTTCAGGTATCACGCGATTGATTGCACTAACTCAAAGGT